TTTTTTTTTTTTTTTTTTTTTTTTCCTTTCTTATAGGAATATTTAATTATGTGTATCTTAATGACTATATCTTTGGATGACTTCTGCTTCGTTATGTTGACATCCTTGGCTACTCTGTTTCTTCTCGTGCACATTACATTTTAGACCTCATTTTGTCATGTTAAACTTAGGTGTTACCCAGTTGATGTTGGTCTGAGTAAGGTAAGGACATATATTATTACGGCTTCTAAGTTCTTTTAGTATTCGAACGGAAACAAAGTTGTCAAATTAGATTTCAGCAGATTAGATTTGAATGTTCAACTTCAGACCATGATTGTTAGAAACAGCAAAATTCATGAGCTCTCCTGGAGTCGGTTTCCCACATGGCTTGAACTTGGCAGTTGATTCATTAGCGCCCATGGTTCATTTTTTATTGTAACAAAAGGCTTAAAAAGATAGTACGTCCTGCCCATCAGTGTTGTAATTTTAATTGTCATGGAAATTTGGGCCGCTTTAGTTCATGTTTTGTGTGATTTTCTAGGCCTTCTGAATATGGACAAGATTTAAATACACATCAAATATTGTATTTGGGAGATTTAATGTGTATTTTCTCATCAAATATAGTATATTTGTTCGTTGCTACTATAATATCTCTAAAACGTTGTAACAAACGTAATTCTCTTTTGCTCCATTGGCCACCATGAAGCATTCATATGGGAATTTAATTGGTACCTAAATTCTGATGTACATACTTTGTAATTTACACAGGCTGTACATGTTAAAATGAAATGGAAAATATAAAAGCTTGCTCATGTTGTGCAGGAAGTGGTGGCAAAAGGACACTCAAAGTCGAAATGAAATGGAAAGTGAAGAAGAATACGCAAGGATGAAAAATTGAGACAAGGGTACCGTGATGGCAGCACAGAGGTGGAGGAGACGACAAAATGTAAGAAATGGAAAAGAACATAACATATCTGCTTTATTTTAACAAGTTTTATGGTAACTTGAAGTACAGGTAATAGAACATCCACTCCAATCAATATAAACAAGCTTTCCAAGCTAATCTCCACTGAATTGGGAGGAAGATCCATCCTTCATCCATTCCTCTGAAAAAGGGAGGCAATGAAAACAAGGGATATAGAGATGCGGTTCATGGCAAAAGTTCCTGTCATCAGTGGTCTACACGAACACAGCACAATGCCTAAGCAAAGACCAAATAAAACCTACGGCTACAGACCATCTAATACGTACCATGCTGGTTGCTGAAATTAGATAAAAATCCCAAACTAAAACAACAGATTCCTCTCTTCAAACACTGAAGTTTAAGAGACAAATCTTGCAAATGGCCTAAACCAACCTCTAGTTCTCTTGATCAACTTCAAGGTTCTTTAGTTTTGATCCCAATTCATCCTCATCGTTCTCGTCTGCTACAGGATCCTTGTCCTCATCCTCGTCCTCGTCCTCGTCCTCATTGCCATCTACCCCCTCAGGATCATTTTCATCCAAGGGCCCAAGCATATCCGGATGTTTCTTGAAAATATCTTTCACCTCATCAATGCCTTCATCAGAAATGAAATTTCCATTGATGTTCAGCAGCACAAAACCAGGCTTCTGAACCATAGTCTGAGCTAAAACCCGAGCCCCTGCCCGCCTTATTAAGTTAGTACTCATATCAACTTCTTTTATTTTGATGTGACCTTCTAGTGCCTTACTGATCAGGATAGTTCCTTCATCCTTCAGTTCATTCTCGGCCAGATTCAAGCTGGTAAGATGGGATTTTTGAGCTATGCAAGCAGCTAATGCAGAAGCAGCTTCAGCTGTTATGTCATTACCAGCCATTTCCAAGACTTCTAGTGCAGGAGCTGTGTCCTTTAGTGCATTAGCTATGGCAATTGCACCTTCGTCTTCCAAGTTCAGGTAGCTCAAATACAACTCCTTGAGATCTACATGGTATGCAAGGGATTTACTCAGAGCAAGTCCACCTTCCACTCCAAGCATGTTGTCTCGAAGATCGAGTTTCTTCAAGTTGGTACAAGTCTCGAGTGCTATACATAAGGCAACTCCCCCTTCTGAGTCTATCCTTGAAGAGGAGCATTGGAAATCTTCCAACAGAGGAGAACGCTTCACGATTTCAGCTATGGCGAGCGCACCTTCATCGCCTGTCATGTTATTATGAAATTGAAGGACTCTAAGCTTATCTGTTGAAGGAATCAACTCGGACACTGCCTGAGCAGCTTCCTTGGAAATGCCATCATTCATCAAGTATAGCTCCTCCAACCAAGTCTGTGATTTCAGGAGAGAGCCAAAAGCTCTAACACCTTTCTCACCTAAGGCGTTGTTTGAGAGGTTCAGAGACCTCAAGATGCTGCCTTCTAAAGCATCTGAGAACAATTTCATGACTTCTAGAGCTTCTGACTCTGTTCTTCCTGCAATAAAATCAGAGAGGTCCACTTCTTTTAACTGATCCTTGAGGGATACAAGAATGGGCTCAGTAACACGAGCTGCTTCTAAACCAAAGCTTCTGTTGCTAAAACATATCTTGGTATAAGAATTCCCTGGCTCTTTCAAAGGCTTTAGTAGTTCTTCAGCTTCCTCCGCCTCAATAAACTCCCGTCGACCTTTCGAGATGTCGAAAAAGGTTTCACGTGGAGCACTAACAATATCAGATCCAACCTCCTCCTTGTCTGCCTCGACTCTAGGACCTCTCTTAAGAACCTCAAGAAGAAGCCTGCTACACTCCTTGGCATAAAGTTGCACAGCAGCACTTCCATCACCATCAGGGTGGTTTTCATAGTTCTGATTAGCTGTAGCAAAAGCAATGTCTTCAATTCTCTTCGACTCATCTGTTGCCTCTTCCTGACTAAGAGTGCCATACTTTTGGGTGAAAAAGGATTTGCTGGTAAGGTTAGATGTCATCCGTTCCACAAGCATATTCCGGGTATTGTCACTAGGAGGCCACAATTTGATCGACAATGGTCTACATTCCAAATTTATGTCTACAAACTCCATTATCAGAAGTGCTCAAATCCAGCCACCTACAGTGAATAGAATAGAAATAAACTTAACAGTAAGTGTCCAGTTCTTAAGAAAATCATAGTCACTAGATAATAGAGACAAGTTAGGACACACAAGCCATGAGCCAAAAAAATCCATAGTATCCAAACATATTACAATATCAGCAAAGAAACAGAGCTAAAACTTATTTCCAAGCTCCACCAAGCAATCATCCAACCATTATTGTAGTCCAATAAGAAGTAGAAACAAAAAGGATACAGATTGGAAGAAGAATTCCATATCCAGCTCTGCCTAAAACTTTTCCCTTCTGAACTATCTCTGTGTTGACCTAAACAACAGAGAGTAGTCCACCAACAAGATAGAGTGACAAAAAAAAAAACATTACCAGAAGACAATAAGTGTCAAACACACTTGAAAACGAAATGTTTTACTCTTATACAATCAGAGACATCGGAGAACAAACAAAGCCCATTTTTCTTAAGATTAACCCCAGAAGATAAAAACACAAATTAGCAACAACTATTATGGATCTAACACAAAACAACAAAGCTTCGAACACTTAAACAAACGAAGTTCGGAAGAAAATGGAGGCAAACCCACAAACGCAAACAAGCAACAAAAGGAGGGAATGAAGAAAACCCTGTAATGAAAAGCAAACAGAGCAACAAGAGAGGAGAAAAGAAGTGTTGTTCACCTCCTGGAGATGAACGGAGGATGTCAGCGAGTGACTGAAGAAGACGAGAGAAGAGGATAGAAGGAAAAAATCTTAACTAGAAGAGAGGGAAAGTAAAAATGGGAAACATGGAAATGGTAAAATATTGATTATAATTGTTGGGGCGAAGGCCAATGGTGGGGGTTTCGAGGACGGCTGCTAGCGTTTGCGTCCAATTGGCGGAAGCCGAACAGAGAAGTTTTGCAAATTTGAAGTTTCAGGCAGAGGATGGCCCCTTCCGCCAGGTTTCGATTTTTGCAAAGTCGCTTTCAAAGCCTCGACTTTCAGCTCTTTTTCTTTTTAATCATCTGAAAATGTACTCTCTTTATTATGGGAGAAGGAAAAAATATGATTCCTAAGCATTTAGAGTGTCCCGGCGAGATCCAAAGTCGGTCAGAGAGGGAAGTCCGATAGGGAAGACTTGAAGAAGATAATATCTGTTAATGGTGAGATTGAGACACCGAACTATGTGCCAACAAATACACTAGACCCCCAAGAAGATGGATTGTGAATCGATTGGAGAGGGAAACATAATTCCTTATAAGGGTGTATAAACCTATTCCTAACAGACAATTTTAAAATCTTGAGAGAAAGTTTGGAAGGAAAAGTCACAATATCCTAGCAAGAGACTTGAAAGGAAAAGTCCAATGAGAGAAAGTTTGGAAGGAAAAGTCACAATATCCTAGCAAGAGACTTGAAAGGAAAAGTCCAATGACAATATCTACCCGCTTGATTTCTTCGGTTACAATCTCACTTATAATTTTTTAACAAAATTATGAGTTCTAGCACTTTAAATTATGCATTTCAATCTTAAATCTTAAATAATTTACCACCGATAAAAAATTATATTTTGATACATAAAATTTGGATGAGATTTGATTATCAATAATTTTCATAATCATTTAACACACGACGTCAAGACATGTCACATCAAAGCATAAATAAAATTGCTTTAAAGGTAAACATTTATACATAGTTTTGATTTATTAAATGAATGTGTAGGATTTAAAGTAGTTTGAAGTATGTTTGGAATTATTAAAAGCAGTGTCATATACACACAAAAAAAAAAGGCAATCATATGGAAATGGACCCATGGTGCTCCAAGGAAAGATATGAATTATGGTTAAAATGAAGAAATTAATGTAGGAATCACGTGAAATCTAATCTGACAAATGAAATTGTAATATGCATTCCATAGTTTTATTTAAAGTAAAATTACTAACAAAACCACACTAAAAGTAAATCAATTAAAACGTTAATAAAACGGGCTTTGATCTTAATTACCTAATTGCAGTCAAGTCTGTCAAAGGACTTCACACAGTGAAAGTAATAAATAAATAAATAAATAATATAACTAAATCAAAATTATTTCAAAAGATTAACCCACAGTCCAAAAAAACCTGTTGAACCCCTGAAATTGATATAACCGGTGGTCAAATTTACAGTGTTCTCCAACTGAATTGTGTCTTCACAAGAGCTTAGTCATTTGGGAAGATACATCAATTCATAAAATAAATGCAATGCGTTTCAAGGATAAGGTCGATGTGAGGAATGAGGTCATTCTATCTAGCAATGCTATTACTAAAGACTTTATACAAAAGATCAAAACCCTAAACTCATTAGAAGAAAAAAGAAAAGCCAAAGGATCATGAGCCATCAAACAAATTAACTAATTCGAACCTCATTCTAGCTCGCTCGGTTGCAGCAACCAAATCTACCACTATCTGTACATCGTGTTTTTTTAGTTAGAGATGATGAATGAATGCACGGTCCAGCCATCTACAACCGTGAGCCATGGAGGTTAGGCTTGGTCAGGGCTTTTGCAAAATAGTTGCGGATCTCGGGAAGTATGCGCTGAATTAGATGAGAGTGCCTGCAAATATTGGAATGAAGAATTGGCTTAGAAAAGGCAGGAGAAACCATATTTTTCTATCCATGGCCTCTTTAGGTGCATCTCCAAATGATCCATACGAGTTTAACTTACAACTTGCTTTAATAATCTTATGTAGGGGCTTCTGATACTGATATTCTCCATTTAAAGCCACCGGCACGATCTAAATCTAACAGTTTTAGCTTCCAAGTTTGTTACCAAAATTGAGGAACTTGAAATGAAGTTTTTTAAGGGCTTGTTTGAAGGTTTATAGGTTTTAAAATTGTGTTTGTTTTCTCATCATTTATCTAGGATATGTTTAGAAAAGAATTGAATTCTTACCCAAATTCTAAAAACAACAAATTTTTTAAACTACTTTCTTCTAGCTTTCAAAACTGGCTTAGCTTTGAAAAATACATGTAACAAGTAAATAACAAAACATGGAACTCCAAGGTGAAAATATATT